GAACGTCAAAATATCAGAAAACCTTGACACCTACTACTTTGGACAGGTCATGGCCGGGTACCCGCAGATCGTCGCCATGTGTGACCGGCTCTTGCCCGAAGACGTGCAACGGGAGAGCAGCGGCGTCGGGGGGGCGGCCGCCGGCCCTACCGGCGCCAAGAGAGCCGCTGCTGACGCGAAGAGGAGAGAGGACTACAAACCCAGAGCGAGGGAGGACAACGCCCACCTCAAGCCCAAGAAAAACGTGTCAAAGAACGCCGGCAGCGTGCAAGAGACCGCCGCGGTTGCCATGCACTCAATGACGTCAGGACTTGGACTGCCCCCCGGCGGATTAAGCGAGCTATTTCGGCCAGCGTCCGAACCCGCCCCCGCCGCAGCACCTTCCTCGCGGGACATCTTAGATGCAAAGACCGCAAAATTGGCGTTTTCGACACCTTGTTCAAGTCTTTCCAAGCCGCCACGGAAAATCTCAAAGAAGCCAAAACAGAGGCGGCAGGCGGCGACAGCACGGCGCTGGAAATGGTAGGTTTTCTGGAAAAATATATAGCGAAGATTAGAACCGAGATGGCTGGATGGGACAAGAGTCCCCTTTGAGGGACAGCCCGCGGTCCCTACCCGATTCCACATGTGCTAGAGCGATCGATTGTGTTAGTGGCGGTTGGTGTAGGATCGTTGGTGTGTGGGCGGGGGAGGGAGAGGGCAGATCGCTTTCACGTGCCGTACCGTTTGTCTTGTGTCGGGTGGGTGTTTGACGAGTGCACCACGTGTAGAACACGCATGGAGAAAGCGTAGCGCATGCTTGTTGTACGATGTTTTTTTTTAGCCGCGTACAGCAGTACCACTTGTGTTTTGTTGTGTCTTTCACAAACCACCGCGTGCATTTGTAGATGACTAGGGGGGGGCACACGCAGAGCGAACGTGTGGCGGACAACCGACGTTCGTTTTTTTGTAGACACGTACAGCAGTACCCACTTGTCTTTTATTTTTTGTGGTGTTTTTTTACAGATGAGTAGGGGGGGGGAACACGCAGAGAGACCGTGTGGCGCACGACCAAAGTTATTTTTTTAGACACGTACAGCAGCACCACTTTTTTGTTTTTGGTCGGTGTGTTTATCACCAACCACCGTCTGCATTCGTAAATGCTTCGGAAACAACGTCTCCTCACGACGCGAACGTAGTCAAATACAACGTAAAAAGCGTTTTGAACGTGGATCCATTCCCGATATGGTTATCCCGGGCTGTGGGAGCTGACCGTCTATGCCATGATGCTGTTCAGCCAACACTGTCTCCCTAGAGACAATATCGTGAGGTCAGAAAAAAAAAGTATCTCTGTTACCATCTCGCATCACGCAACTATGACATGAAAAAAATCCCCGACACAGGGGGGAGTGTGCTCACCCTTACCTTACACGCCCAACGTTATAAAACAAATGCGTTTGGAAACCTACATTCTTCTTCGACATCTCTGCAACATTCGAATTTTCTCGCGCAAGCGATGCAAAACGCAGGAATGACACCCAAACAAGCGACGTCATGAAAAGCGCCAATACTTATCGAAACAACACTCAATCTTACTGGACACCACTCAGGCATTACCCCGGTTTATGATGTTTGTTACACATAAACACGACTTCCGCAAAATTGTCGCCACGTCCTCGTAGAGGCGCATGTGGATTTGGCGCCCGACCCTCTCCCCCCGAAAAAAAAAGCCTTCTCACCCGCCCGTGCGCCTTCCCTTCCCTTTCACCCCCCCCCGCCCTACCCCACCAAAGGCGTTGCATTTCCGACCACCATTGTCCACATCCCCCACCCCGGCCATGGACCAGGCTCCTCAAAGGCCACCACCGCCGCATTTGCCTCGTCTCGTCCATCATCCACGTACTACGTCCTCGGGACCCACCCCCCACCGCAGCCCGCCCGCGTCCGATCCCTTACGTCTTCCTCGCTGCGTTGCGCACCATGTTGTGCTTTGGGCGGTACTGGCGCTTGTTGTCCAGCATCATCGTGATCCCCTTGCGCGTGGAGACTTCGCCTGACCTGGCCAGTTTCTGCGCGTCCTTGGTGGTCGTGCTGAAAGCCCCTCCCCTTGCGCGTGGAGACTTCGCCTGACCTGGCCAGTTTCTGCGCGTCCTTGGTGGTCGTGCTGAAAGCTCCTGGCAGAGTCTTGTCGCCGAGTAGGTGGGGGCGTAGCTGAACCACCTCCGCGCCTTCTTCCGACCGGTGGATTGGTGAGCCCTTCTCGTCCCGGAGATAGTTGTGGAGGCGGAAGAGCGCCGTGATGAGGTACGCCCAGCGAACTGAACACGCAACGGCTTCCACAGGATGCCCCACTGGCCGACGAGAATGCCGAACGCTTGCTCGATCCTGACTCTGAGTTGGCTCTGAAAGAAGTTGAACGCGTCTTTGTCCAGCGGCAGTCCCCTCCCTGGGTACGGAGTCAACAGGTGGTCGCTTAGGGGGTAAGCCGCGTCTCCGAGCATGTAGAAGCCTGGCGGCAGGTTTTTCACCGCTGTGGATAGATCCGAATGGTTCCATGCCGTCCAGTCATTGGTCGAGCCGGGTGCAATGCAAGACATGATGCAAAACCGGTAATTGTCATCGCATGTCGGCTGTACGTTCATCCCGTAGCCGCACTTGCTCCCAGAATAATACGAAATAACGTTCGGAGTGTTGAGGGCAGTCGGAGCAAGAGTCTTCACGAAGAGGCCATCCCCCGCAGCTACCACACTTTGAAAGGCGCCCCCCGTGCTTTTTTCCTGGGGACAAACATGGCACTCGGGGAGGGACACAACAGAGGCGCCCATAGATTCGTTCAAGTTAGATTTTCAGGCAGCGGCAAGCCCATCGACTACCCCAGAAAAAAAGTGCAGGTGTGTGCGAGCAATTAAAGACGAGTTCTCTCCTAGACATGCCAATCAATACAGTGCGACTGTTCGTGCCAATGTTCCTGCAGAATGGAGCTCATTTCACCATGCACCAAGCCAATACGTGGACACAAGATATATAGGTTTCCCGGTGCTGTCACAAGTGCTTCCCGCTCGCTCCTTATTCAGTGCGTCTAGAAAGGAGGATATTCTGCCGAGCGGAGGATCGACATGCGTGCATCCATGCAATCCGCGTCATTTGTTTTGGGCTAGACTCTGCAGCAGTGGTGCCTTGCTTATGTACCATACACGTTAGGAGGCCTGTATTGTAACCTAAGGAAGAGGTGAAGTTGACTGCTCTTCCGACACCAGACCCGGTCGGCATACCACAGCACAACACCTGTCTGTCCATTTTCGCCGCCTTGCCTGTTTTTGACCATATTCGCACGTACGTCTGTTCGCATACTGTAATCTATCTTCGAAGTAATGTTGAAACTAAACCGCCACCAAACACGATCATGTGTTCGTTCACAGCATCATAATCACCTACCTGGAATGCAAACATGCAATCTACCCTGCTGCTGTAAACTAGTGTATCATTTCCGCATCTCCCTTTCTGCTGCCTGCCGGGTGCACTCATCCTGGCTCTGCAGAAAAAAGAACGGCCCAACCTCTGTTGTGCTGCTGATGGCACCCACCACCTGCCACAAGATGCTGAAGACCGTCTCCTTGGACACGCCAAACAGCACGGCGACATCGACATACGAAGCACCGGCCATCATCCGCAAGCCGATAGCTAGTCGGATCTTCGTGGGAACAGCACCGCCTTGATACCGTTTTCCTGTTTCGCATGAAGCACAAAAAGAGCATAGCGTGGACGTATCAGCAGGCGAAAACAGCAAGTGCTGGGCGGTTAAACTGTAACCCTAACCCTAGTCAGACACCAGAGGTCACCGTTCTGCTGATGTAAACCGTCCTGCTGGTGTGAGAGTGCCGGCGGTGGTGCTGCGGGATGATTCGCTCTGTTCCTACACCACTACACTTTCAAAAATCAAATACACCAACCGTGGTCTTCTGCAATGCTACACTTCAGCATCAGCAACGTAAGGACGGGAAAAACACCACGGCATGAGTTCTGCGCCTCGTGTGTCATTTACACACATTCTCTCTCCCTGCCCCCCCGCCCCCCCATCTCTCCCTCCCGCCCTCTCTCCAACCTCACTTGCGTAAGTAGTCGTTCCGTTGGAGGATCGGTTCCAGCAAGTCAGCCAGTTTATTGAACACCCGTTCCGCCATGCGATAATACATCCTCCGGAGCTTCCGCTTCTTGAGGTCAGCAGCGTGATCCTCCCAAACCAGGCGCCNGTGTCATTTACACACATTCTCTCTCCCTGCCCCCCCGCCCCCCCATCTCTCCCTCCCGCCCTCTCTCCAACCTCACTTGCGTAAGTAGTCGTTCCGTTGGAGGATCGGTTCCAGCAAGTCAGCCAGTTTATTGAACACCCGTTCCGCCATGCGATAATACATCCTCCGGAGCTTCCGCTTCTTGAGGTCAGCAGCGTGATCCTCCCAAACCAGGCGCCGTGGCTCGTGGATAGCCGCACGCGTCTCATTAGTGCTAGCGTGCGCAGCTACAGAGGTGACCACTGCCGCCGCACACAGCACCAGCACCACCACAGCTGCTTTCATCTGCCGCACCAGCTCTTGGCGACCGGATGCAGGCCTGAATCGTTGGCTCGGTGGGCCAAGCACACGACGAACCAAGAGGCGCGCCGCGTTTCCTGCGGTCCGCCATGGACCTGCCGCTATCCCAAGTACCCTCCGCTGCTGCTTCTCCCTTGTAGTTGGTCCTGTAGGTCCTTTAGCTGCTGGGTTTGTTGTGATGCTCCAAATTATGTGGAAGCTAACGAGTACACTCTGGTCCGAAACATAGTTCACCTTTGGACTACATGTACATTTCGGAGAAAGCGGGCTCCAGCTGGACTTTTCCGAAACGTTTTTTTTCGCTGCGCAGAACCTGTTTCGGCGGGAAACCTCAGAAACAGAAGTTTTGCGAAGACAGACCACACACACGCACTCCGCGGCCGCGAAGATACAGCCAGCAGGGCTCGCTCACGGGAATCACCGGTTGGAGACCTTCCCGGCGGACCTACCAACATGTCGGATTCGGAAAGCGCTGCCAACACACCAAAGCGCAAGAATTTGACAACTACAGAGAACAAGAGCATGATTGCCGAGCGGCTCAAGGGGAGCAACAACGGGGTTCTGGGGCATGGTGCCTTCAAGAGGGTGGCCGCCATGTACCAGCAGCACCCACGCACGATAAACCTGCCACGATATTTTTCTGTTCTGCAGCAAGCACGGTCCACTTTTGATTGATGTGGATGCCGAAGTGCTTCGGTCAACAAAAAATGAGGGTGATTTTCTCAACATTTCAAATGTGAGATGTGAGATACCAAGTACAGTGGGGGGCCCGCTATAGTGCCGGGTAGTGTCCAGAGGGAAAAGCGGCACCATACCGGGCACCGGCAGTATTCAGAATAGTGCCTCAATAGTGCCGGTTCGGCAGTATTGAGGCTTCGAATATACCTCAGTAGTGCCGGTCCGGCACTACTGAGGAGGCGGTGATTTCATGGTGCAGCGCTCAAGCTTTGCGGGGTCAACAGAGTACGATGTGGATCGTGGATCGAAAATGAGTGTAGGATTACTGGACGTCTAAGTCCTCGTTGCCCTCCTTGGATGTTGCCCGATAAAAAAAGACAACAGAGAGAAAGAACGACGACAGGAAGCGCACCGCACGAAAAATAACGACCATTACTACTACCACAGCTGTTCTCCCCGCCCCCGCAACGTAGCAGCAACTCTCTCTCACGTGTGCCTGGCGCACCCCCTTGGATGTTACAAGAAGAAAAAAACAAAGAAAAGCACGACGGGAAGCACACCGGAAGAAAAGGAAACAACCATTGCTACANGGATTACTGGACGTCTAAGTCCTCGTTGCCCTCCTTGGATGTTGCCCGATAAAAAAAGACAACAGAGAGAAAGAACGACGACAGGAAGCGCACCGCACGAAAAATAACGACCATTACTACTACCACAGCTGTTCTCCCCGCCCCCGCAACGTAGCAGCAACTCTCTCTCACGTGTGCCTGGCGCACCCCCTTGGATGTTACAAGAAGAAAAAAACAAAGAAAAGCACGACGGGAAGCGCACCGGAAGAAAAGGAAACAACTATTGCTACATACAACAGTTGCACCCAACCTTACTCCGTAGGCGCAACAAACTCTCTCATGTCTGCCTGGCGCACCCGCTTAGCGGAATGCGCTGCAATCATTGCCATCTTCGCTTTCGTTAGGAAGAACGCCGCGTCTCCGTTGCCACTCTCATCTGCTGCCGCTTCTAGGACTCTGAAGTGAGGCGACAGCTCAGCATAAGCAGGTGGAGCACGGCGCTCGGGCCCCGTGTTGTCATCGCCACTGCCCTCCTCTTCGTCCTCCTCCTTGCCGCCTGTTGTCACGTGCGTTCCAGCCAGCATCACGCTGTGGATGTTGGTGCGCTTCACAAAGTTCTTTGCCCATTTCTCGCCGGCCTTGAAGTCCTCGACCCTCGCCCTTATGTTAAGGACCCGATTCGCAGGGTATCTGTCGATTGACTTTTACCTGAATCGGTANTGCCGCCTGTTGTCACGTGCGTTCCAGCCAGCATCACGCTGTGGATGTTGGTGCGCTTCACAAAGTTCTTTGCCCATTTCTCGCCGGCCTTGAAGTCCTCGACCCTCGCCCTTATGTTAAGGACCCGATTCGCAGGGTATCTGTCGATTGACTTTTACCTGAATCGGTACACCTTCGCATTTGGCGTCTGCTGGATACTGGTTCGAATCTCCTTGGGTGCACACTTTTTCTCCTGACTTGGATATTTTCCCAAGGACACAATGTGTGTCAGTCCTGAGAACCTGTTGGAGTCGATCCTACAAAGAACCTTGTGACACTTCCATCGAATTACCCATCCTGGCCACAAGAGGTTCCCAGTTGAGGGTAAATTCTGTGGGTGGAGAGTGTAAAGGAGGACCCGATTCGCAGGGTATCTGTCGATTGACTTTTACCTGAATCGGTACACCTTCGCACTTACTGCTGCAGAAGTTGCGGTGTCAGCCAGCAGGGTTGTCCTGGCGGAACGGCCGAAGCTTCGAAGGACATCGCGTGTGACGGGCATCTTGGCCTTCCGGGCTTTGGCGTGCAGATAAAGAGCTATCGCATCCACCTGCCGCAAAAAACGAGTAAACAAGCAGAAGGTCTTACCATTAGTTTCGAACATTAGCATGCATCCTACACTGCGCGGCGCGGTCAGGCGGGACAACACAGCAGAGACAAAACAAAACACACAAAAAAAAAGGAATGGATTATGTATATTTATTATGTCCGCTGTACATATAATACGGAGTACATAAAAAAAATAAGAATAGGAAAGACGCAAAGAGGGCGACATCAACAGCGGAATAGCCACACAGAAAGGAAAGGAGGATAAAAGCGGACATTGTTGTTGTCTTCACATTAAAAATCGTTCCGATCTCGGACATACAAATGTGAGAAAACCGAGACAGAACAATAATGGACAGAAAAAACAACAGACAATATCTTTTTCTGTTTTTTTGCCTTCCGACAATTGCAGATGTACCTCAGAAAACTTTCACTTAATGTCTCATACTCTACATGAATATTAAACCAATACGAAGTACAACAACATATGTAGGACTAATTTCTACTGTCATTTACATCGTAAAAATATCTCCTCTTCAACTTGAAATAAAACCAATGACAATCCTGATGGTATCCTGTATGTGTTCGTACGCTTGCTAAAATACTACTGCGTTGATGTCCTCTTGTAAAAGCTGAAATCCAACAAATGCTTTGATCCATGCTACATCTCCGTGTTGGAAAAGCCCTTTCATCTCCGTTCATGATAACATCTTACCCTATTCTACGCAAATCTGTCACATCTACTCTCAAACAAGACGCCAACTTCAAACGAAAACGCGATAGTCTATTGTACACAGTGAAAAAAAAATGAAGAACGACGAAAAGAAAAACACATGGACGGAAAAAAAGGCCAGTGAACAGCGGCCCGCAACAATTTTGGAAAAAAAAGGCGGGGAAAAGAAAGCTCACCTCCGGAAAATCTCCCTTGCGCGCGGTTTTCTGGGTGCCGCCGCCTGCAGCAGTCGCAGCCTCCACCTTCTTCCGGTCAGCCTTCACAGTCCTAACAAACCGCTCCGAGCACCCGAAGCGGTCTGCAATCTGTACTTGAGAGACCTTCGCATCCAGCAGCTTGAGAATCTCAAGCTTCGTGTTGTTGTCCGGGCGCGCACGAACACCCCCCTTCTTGCTCCCACCGCTCTTGTCCTTCTGGCGTTTAGATGGTCCCGCCCCAGCACCGTCAGCTGCTGCCGCTTTGAGCTTGCCAATCCTGGTAACGCACGTGCTGCATATACGGTGCGTCTCGATGTCGTCAAACACGCTGCCGCAATTGCCGTGGAGCCGCCCTCCACATCCTCCCTGGCAGACATGGCCATGAGGGTCTTGCGGCGTTCTGTCCTGTTGAAGGCACAGTTCACCTTCCGCACAAGGCATGGTTCGCCTCTACTTAAGAGCTCTTGAGGTCTGCAACAGCAGGTGTACACTCCGTCACTCTGGCGTCTGTCCTCTGGTGTCGTGGTGTGTGTCTACAGCAGCAGTGAACCGGCACTATTGGGGGGCACAGCGGCGCCCAACCGGCACTTTAACGGGCCATCCCTCAATAGTGCCGGCCCGGCACTACTGAGGGCGCTGTCTGTGTCCATAAATTGTACCGGCACTATACCGGGCACCGGCACTATTCAACCGGCACTATAGCGGGCCCCCCACTGTAAAGACTTTGGACTATTCCGGAATTTAGCTGATTTCCCGGGGATGATGAACAAGCATCCCCGCTCAGCCCGCGAGCCTTTTTTTTTTTTAAAGCTTTCCTCAGCACTGACGGGACGTGGCACACAGTAGAGCTCTTTTGATCACCAATATAGCCCTCTGAACCTCAATACCCCAAAAGTGAACTATATTCAAGTTTTTCCCAAGGTGAAATATATTTCGGACCAGGTTCGTTCCGAATTTTTTGAAAATATTTGGACAAACGCCTCTGCACAAGTTCCGGAATTTCGGAAAATTTGTACTTTTTTTTTAACAACAATTTGGAATGTATAAAGCGGCCCTAGTAGACTAAGTGGACACAAGTGGGTACAATTTGGACAAAATATAGACATAGATCCAAGTGGGTACATAAAAAAATTAGTTGACGCCGCTGGGTATACCCACCGCGATGTCGGACAGAAGTGGGCACTCTGGTGAGGCCTTGCGCGCCTCTGCGGTATTAGGGCCGAATGTGTGCCTGAAGTGGGAAAAAATCGATGCCCGTTCGTGCTGTGTATGGTCCCTGGCTGTGTCGCCCAGTTGTCAGATTGGGGTTTTGAGTCGTTTGGGGGTTGCCTTGGGAGTGCGCGCGCGCTGGATTTTCGAGTACCCACGTTTGTCCGAGATGGCGTGAGTATACCCACTTCTGTCCATTTCCCAAAAATATTTAAACATTCTTATGCAGTCGTAGCAGCTAAAGATCAACGGCTCGAAAGGTGTGGGAGTCGGGGAAATATCGCATGCTGCACGCTGTCTGCCGTCCCCAGACGCTTCGCGGCTGACGTTATTATGGATGGGTTGTTATCAGGATGAGCTGAATGGTACGATACCTGCTGGTAGCGTGCGTTCCGACAAAATGTTGCACTTCGTATGTACATACAGCAGTAGGAGGGCCGCATACAAAGGGCCGCCTACCTGATATTTTACCGGTGAAATTCGCTTCGCACAGACTTGTGGCCCGATGTACGCACAAGGTCTAAATAGGTCTTCTAGATGGTTGAAGAACATGAAGTATTGTTTGTTCCGCCGCACCGGATCCTACGTAGAAATAGTGCTGTAGTGTGAAAAACGGAGGCTTACCCGAAAAATCTGGGGTTAAGTTCAGTTCGGAGATTCCGTCTACGCCATCTCGCGTTGGCCAACCTCGGCATCCCCGTGAGCAACAACACTCAGGGAGCACGCTCCCGCCAGCCGCGGATCGATCGGCGCCCCGCAGGTCGATATCATCTGCAGGCGGCTGCAGCTCAAGGCGAACAACCCTGTTCCACACGGATTGTACCTCCACACGCCAAGTGGCAGACACGGGGAACCAGCGCATTCACCGAACTCTTCCTCTTTTGGCCTCAGACCTTCTCGAGCCGTCTCTCAGACTACCCCTCTCGAGGCGGGAGGAGCTGCCCTCCTCCCGTAGCCGGTGCCGTAACCTGTGCGCAATCCCCTGTGGGCCTAAACCAGTGTGGAACGTCACGCTTCCTGGGAGGTCGCTTCCGTCCATCTCGCTACAACCGGCTTCAACACGCACACGGCTGGAATTCAGCCGCGTTTGCTGTAGCGCCGCTTTGGGCCGGCGCTGCACACTCCTGGCACCAGTCGGCGTTGTACGGACCCGCACTCCATAAAACGATCCTAGTACCCAGTCCCTCCGCAAAAAAAATGCCGAAAACATGTTTTTCAGCCATTGGTCGAGGGGTTACAGTCCCTCCAAAGAATCTGAGCTCCTTGCCAGACAAAGGGTGACTTGGCTTCAGTATGAAAAGTGTCCCCAAAACACGAGGGGACACTTTTCATACTGAAGCCAAGTCAGCAATTTTTTTCCAGTACTAGGCGATGTACAGTTTTGCGAACTGGGGGGCACGCGGGTTGGGAGATGTGTACAGCAAGTCAGAGGCGCAGGAGAGGCATCACACAGCATACACAGCGTACTACCTCAGCCAAGCATGATAGACCAAGGGTTCTCACGTACGTTGCATACAGCGGAGCCTAGGTTGACTACAATGCGGTAAACAGGCCTTGGAGTGCTGTGTCCCAAAGTGCCCCCAAATCGTCCCCAAAAAGGCTTCCAGTACTTGGAGGGTAAAAGGTGGTACGCTGCCTGTCTCTGCCAGGAGACCTCACCGGCAAAAAATCAGGGAACCCGTGTGTACCTTCCCGGCGTACCCGCGGCACTTGCGAGCAGGGCACACTCGCACGACCAAAAACAAGAAGCAGAAAAAAACGCCGTACATACCATCGGACTTCACGTTGAAAATAAAATTTATGCAGTGCAGCAGTATTGTACACGATCGGTGATGAGTTGTGGTGCCTGGAACAGATATCCCCTGAAGTACCACGGTTCCCTTCTCGGCCCATCAGGTACGAATGCGGTACATCCGCGGGCCCTTCATCTGATCAAACGAGGAAGGAGGCAGGCGGAGAAAGGGGTGCGCGGTTTGTGTGTGGACGGGGGGCGCAAGCCGATGGGTGGGGGTGGAGGCAAGCCTGTAAGGTATGGTGGATGGGAGATAGGGGCATGGAGGATGAATCAAGGGTGTCTCTTCACAGCAAATAGACCTATTGAAGCCGAAATCAAACCATCAGGCTAGCCAGCGCTGGCTAGTCTCATGGTTTGATTTCGGCTTCAAAAAATGGTACTCGTGCATGCGACGGCAATTGATGCGATCGCAGCAGACCTCACTCCCAAAACACAATTTTTCGGTACGACACACGGGCACCTCTTGCGCACGGCAACATATTGTCTGCCTCACCGACAAGCCGTGTTCCCGAGAGAGCAGATGCGGGCGGGTTCCCTACAAAGTAATGCTGTTGATTCACCTTCACAACGGCAACTAATCTCCCTTTCGTACTCCGGTGCAAGGCGCGGACAGCGCCGCCATGTTGCTTACAATGCCCCCCTGCCTGCAAGTTGGGGAAGAGGTGCCGACTTCTACGGCAACGAGAACAACACGATGACGTGACACGCCGACTTAGATTGCAAGGACAACAACACAATGACGTAAAAAAAACACGCGACAACCATGTAACTCGCGCGCGCGCACACACCTCGATCCGCTTCAGGTGCGCCGCGGAGAGCAGCAGCGTTCGTGACAGCTCTCCCTGGTCTATGATGCCCATTATCTCGTCCACCGTCAGCAGCAGCTCGGAGGGCGAGGCCAGCCGCGGCGCCGCGTACGCGTTGAGGTTGCCGACAGTCTCGTTGAGGACGCTTCGCGACACTTGGATGGTCAGGAACTTGGGAGCCTGTTGGTGTTTTGGGTTGAGGTTAAAAACAGAGTTTTTTTAGAGATAGAGTGAAGAAGGGGGGAGGTAGGTCTTCCCCTTAAGTAGAATCGCCAGGAAAGGGTGCCTGAAGCAGAACATGAAGATTGAATACTACTCTTCAGTGCAAAGGATTGAGGATACCTATGGGGGGGGGAGGGGAACGGAGTCAGGTCTCGTTGCAAGAGGAGAGTACAACCATCGGGATTCCGGAATTCAAACTTCCTTCTTTGAGAGCGGGAAGCAGAGTGGGACCCTCCCCGCTACACGAGCCGGCAATCAAGCGTGTGAGCCCAGAGAGCCAAAGGTAGTGCCGAAAATGACGGAGAGATGAGGCGCAACTGCGCTGTTCCAGTAGAGCATAGGGAAGACACGCCATTGAACAATGCAGGCGGGAGCAGAGAGAGAGTGGGGGGGGGGGTCTACTCGTGGACGTGTCCACCGTGGTCGCCAGACCGTTCATCTCGCATCCTACAATGCCGGGACGGAGCACGCCGGATTTTCATTGGACCAGACTATAAATAAAGCACATCACCAAGCAACGGGGGGGGGG